TTGCACTTCATTTGCAATCAAGAGTCAGTAAATATCTATCACAAGTATATTGTTGCAAAAATTGTTCTGTCCTAGAAATCAGCAAGTTCGATTGTTAATCAGCTCAAACTACGTGTCATGCTATTAATTTGATCACTGGTTTTGTTTTTTACACTTTCAATGCGTACACACGTTTGCGGGTAAAAAAATTGGGTATAGTTGGCCCCTCTTTCTCGAGCGATGTCTCTTAGCTCATCGCATCGGCCAAACGAGCACACGCTACAGAGCCAGTGCTCGCAGTACATATAATGACGTGACGCCGGCGCGTGTCGACCTCACAGTGGGTGTCTGATACAGAATAACGGTCATGCGCGTACATCGTGTCCGGCAAATTTCTTCCTTACCGCAGTGATCTTCTCAGGCACACTATTACGGACGTGTTCACGTATATATATATATACATATTATACATATATTGGTATAGATAAAAAAAAAATAAATATGCTTTTGCGTACAATAATGAGGTGCAAGGGGTCGAAACGTGCGTGATACTCTAAAGGTAATCAGATACACACAGTGCACAGACACCCTTTATTCGTAATTAGAAATTTATTAAGAATACGATAGGGTCCGTAAATAGCTCTAGGCTATCACGTATTCTCGTAATTCCGTATAACAAGATCTCGACTGTGAGTTTGAGTTTCTATATTGTCTTGTAAAAGAGTATCCATATTACGATTCACATTCGGCTGGACGCTTGTGCAGTGTACTAATATAGGCGTGCTCTCATCGTGCATCGCCCACGTGCCAGAAGGGAAATTGACAAAACCCAGCGACAGAACTAGTGGCAGTCGAGACGACTAACTACTAATCGGAAACTCGCTCAACGAGGGCGTAATCAGGATAATCTGTCAACGCGCATAGATCACGCAGTCGCGCAAGGAGGATATACACGTCATTAGAAGTTGCTGTAATACACGCATGCAGTTGCCTTATGCAGAGTAGAAGTAGTCGAGGCAAAAGTCACGACGGTGCCATTAGTCCGTTTTGCGTATTCTACTTAGGACTAAAACTCAACTAGTTATATTTCCACGCGAATTAATTATAGCGAAAAGTATTTACCATGTTCACGACTAATTACAAAATTGAATTATCTAAAATTTTAGTAACATCATGAATTTTTTCCCACAATTTTGATGACTAAGTAAGAGCTGTTAAACACGAGATAAAGCATTACATGAAATTATCGGTTTATAAAATTACAAAATGAGTACGTTGCACAAAAACATACACAACTTTCTTGAATAAATAACCATTAAATTTTCCTTTCAAACCAATACTTGATGATGAAACTCATTATGGCATGAAAGCTCTTACAATCGAGTGCTTGTCTTTGTCGACGCAGCAAATTTTTTTCAGAAAGCACGAAAGATCTTTGTACGCCAATATAATTATCAGCTCAAAACCATTCAAAGTCCTTCGATTCTGAAAATCTGTCTCCTTTTAGCTCAAAGGTTCATGTTTGAAGATTAATAGGAAAAAAGCCACAGGCTTATATGCTAAGAATATGCATTGTCATGATTGATAAGTGCGCTACAATACATAATCATATTGAATATCAGAAGAGAAGACGGCAACGTCGCTTCATCGTGTGCGACAACTTGAAAAAAGCGTGAAATCCAATACTCCAGGTATTGGTGTAACGCGTGCGCTTGTGCACCACCATGCGCCAGGGAAAAAGTAAGCGCAGCACCTCGCTCGAACAGAGAAGTCACGCATAGCCTCATTAAGCTTTTTAACGTAAATTAGAGTCACAGTCTCGGTAATGCAATCTTCGATAATCATCGCTGCGGCTCGTTGTAAGCCTATCGCACACATAACGCGATTCATACTATCCATTCATTGCTTCTTTTTTTTTTTACTTCTTTATCGAACTCGTTGTATAAAACAAAAAAGCTTATAGGATAGTTTTAAGGGATTCCACAAACATATCTTAACACCCTTTACACAACTCCAAAAAGGTGGTATTAATATACGAACATGCTAAATATTTTGTTACAGTTTTGTAGCAAACACGAATAATTTTTTTAATTTAGTATACTAATTACTTCTTAAAAACACACCAATGATTTATCTAAGACATCGTATTTATCCTAAAAAACTTCAAATCAAAACATTTGTTAAGTGAAAAATGTGAGACCTGTAGGCAAAGAGTAAGTGAGAGATTAATCCATAAATATCCATTAGACTGAATGCTGCGTTGACAAATAAAGATATAACCCCTGAGTAAACGAGCTACCTCTCCCTTTTACTTGCACATCCCTCTGAAGGGAGAAGTAGCCAAAGAAGAAGAAGCATAGAAGCATCTTTTCATCCAGACATAATTACTCCACCCGTCTTCTCTTTTCCTCTCTCTCTCTCTCTCTTTCAGAGTCGTTTCTTCGGCAACGAATCGACTTTGGCGCCATTGTTCTCAAGTCTCTCTTCGTAGTATATCCCACACCGCCGATTGGTAATTGTCGAGCCGCCTACGCTGTTGTTATCTGGTAGAGCTTGTCGAGATTCATGAATTGCTCAAGTTTCGCCTTAACCATCCTCCTGTTTCCTAATACCCAGTTTCTCCCCGAGCTCATTCCAAATTCTATACTTTCTTCGATTTGAGCATTACATGCGTTAACTCCTTCACAAACGTGCAGATGTTACTTTTTCTATGAATTCAAGGCGCTACAGTAGGAGTAGCATGCCCAAAGAGAATTTTTCTTTTGTCTTCGAATGTGTTTATATAGTGGTGTTGGCAGTTATAACGGTAGCAGCCGCGGCAGTAGCGTCAGAAGAACTGATCGATGATGCTGCGTTAGCGAGCGAGTTCCTTCTGCGCATGGCCGGTTAAACATTATAGCGGACATGCAAATAAAACGTGTACTCGCGTACTGCCTGCCTGGTAGGCTGCCTGTTGGAGCTTGCGTTAGAGTGTATGCTTGTGCGTGTTGCGAGACGAGAGGGGTGAGTGAAATGGCTTCTGTACTGAACGAAGGAAGAAGAAGATTTGCCAAACAAAAAACCCATATGTTGATTCGAGGGATACTCCATGCTGACAAGAGAAGATCTTAATTCTTTGCTACCTACTAAAGGAAGCTTTGTGACAGGCCCAAAAGTGAGGGTTTGAACCAGTTGTCGTAGTAAAATTTGGTTTTTATATTCGTAAACTACATTGAATTTTCAACAAATATGTGTGTATATGCATGTGTACTGCTAGCTACTTACGTAGAATTTGTGTGTAGTAAAAAGCGTCAAAAAATAAATTTTTTTACTAAGATTGAAAATGAGAGAATTATGCTGGGAATTTTTAAGTAAGCTTGGAGAGGTACAAGAAATCGTTGCTATTCAGTTTTAATCAGTTAGTGAGTGATAGTCGACACGGTTGCACAGTATAGTGCGTCAGAAAACATTTGTATGGTTCATAATATTTTTAATTACTTCTCAGTTTATCATATATACGAAGTCAGTAGAAAATTTTTTATTGCCTTTTATACAAACTTTTACACATCTTATCCGCAAAAAATGTCTCCGGACAAATTAGTACGTCCACGTAGATTATATCTTTGCGTCATACGTGCGTTTATCAAAAACCCAAAACTTATATTAATTAAAACTAATTATATATTTAAATTGCATATTTTTGTAAAACTGTTACAGAACACAATAACGTTACATCTAAATTTCATTGAAACGTGTTCTTTTCATAACTGTGATTAGCTTTCGCGCATGTTGAAAAAAGTTAAAGAGGAATTATTTTAAAAAATTTTTAAAAATCGATTTGAATTTTCAGCTTGTACAATTCAATAATTGTTTCTCTTAATTGCATGTTAATGATTTTGTGATGCGACTTTGGCTATAAAATTGTCATTCACGCACTCAAAATACAAGCCATTACGTATATTATTTCATCAATTAACGTACCCGTTGACAGCTCGTTGAAGGTATATGAATCATAATTATTGTCGCTTTTAAAATTGATTATTGGAATTATACAATTTATATAATAACAACTTTCATTTCTTCATAATCAGGTGAAATAATAAAACTGGTTCCAATAAACTTATTACTTAACTGAAGCAAATTATTAAGAAATACAACAATCTGTGGGTTACTTATCGTACACAAAAAACTGTGAGAAAGTTTGCTTTGATATGTGATTTTGCATTACATTAATCTATACGAATGAAGTCGAGGCTGCAAGAAAGATTTAACGTATTTAGATTTCCGTTTACAGCTGTGCCATTTGAATTTTGCAATTGATTGAAAATCGAACTACCCCAAAACAATTTTTTTCCTTTGGAATCTTTTTGTGCCTCGTTTAAGCAGAATGTATAGAATATGAGGTTCAATGTTTGATCGGCACGTTAAATCCAATATTTTGCGAGATTCTTTTATGTATGAATAAAGACGTCATTATTTTGGTCCAATTCAGCGATACATCAAACAATCGTTAAAATTGATACGGCAGTGTGCAAACGGAAAGTAAATATGTATTAGATATCGTACATTGCGTTCCTCATAGGTTTGCGTACCGAGCGAAAAGATAGAACGAATAAAGAAGAGCGGCACGCGACCGCACACAGAATCCAAGCGTTTGAGTCCGCTGTTTGGGAATAAGTTTATATACGTATTTGCTGTTCACTGTTCCCCTGATCAGTGCACTGCAGAGGGATGATCATTAGCGACTATTTTCAGAGCCATTACTAACTAGACGCACTCGAGCTAAAAGAAAATAGGATAACGAACCCTCGTTTCTTGGGCGAGTTTACATATACATATGAATTTGCGGCTTCTATGCTACACCTTAATTGGGTTATAATGGTGGTTTTGTAACGATGCTATTTTCGTCACTTTACAAGCTGATTCACCTCAAATACCTGTGCCAAAAAAAAAATATATTTCAAAAATTGGTACTTCAGTTTTTCAAACAATTGACTCTGGGAGATCTCAGAATTTAAAGCTATTTCGTCTCAATGTTACAGGTTTGGTTTCAAAATCGTCGAGCAAAATGGCGCAAAACCGAAAAATGCTGGGGACGAAGTACCATAATGGCGGAATACGGTCTTTATGGAGCAATGGTGAGACACTCGCTACCATTACCCGAAACCATTCTTAAAAGTGCTAAGGAAAATGAGTCGGTAGCACCGTGGCTACTAGGTAATTATCAAGTTTTCATATTATTTATTTTAAATCTTGCAATATCAACACAAAGTTAATTATTTTATTATTTTATTTTATTCAATTTCATATTGTACTACCATAATTATAATGCAAGTTTTTTTGGACAAAAGATTTGTTGATGAAACGTTTTCTTTTTAATTTGAAATCTTATATGTGCTTGATTATATCGCTTAATTGTTCTTAAAAACAGTAATTGTTTTTATTCAAAACGGTATATGACAATTTTTTTCAACCAACTACTTATAGACATTAATGTTTTGTTATAATTGTGTTTATTTGTTGTGTCACGTAAAAAAAATCAAATATTTCCTTGTAATGTATATGCAATCCTTCACTACATATGTTTATAGTTTTTTTTATTGTCATTTAAATTGTTCATTTAGTTACTTGTCAATGTTTAACGTCTTAAACGTCTTGAGGATTTCGATGAAAAAAAGACAACGATTTACCAATTAATCTTTAGTAATCCAAAAAAAACTTTGAAATTTGCATTTTTACAAATCTTACAAAAATGTAGTGTCAAAAATTGTGTAACCAACAAATTATAAAGGAAATTGAAATAATCTATAAATAATATAAAACTCATTACATTTGCCATTCTAATTATTACTGCAAGAGAGAAAGATTTTGAAATTTTGTGGCTAGCTGTAAGCCACCAATAAAAGAAAAAAAGTAAAGTAATTTGCGATCAATATTTTTATGTTTGTCTGTATCAGCGCAATCCTCTAAGACAAGTGGCTTTCAAAACGAAAATAATCGACGCGATTCACTTGACTGTGGCTCCTTAGGGATGCACCGAAAGTCACTCGAAGCTGCTGAGCATTTGAAATCTGGTGATGAAAGTGGCACCGAAAATCCTGGTGGTTCAAATTCACCACCACATAATCATCATCCTGGTGGACCGACTAGCTCAGAAAGTGGTCAAGAGAGTCAAGATGGCATGGGTCCCACTTCTTCATCAGGTATAAATCATTCATTTTTCATCTTACTATTTGAAATTGTACATTGGAAAATTTTACTTTAAGCGAGACTTATTCACATTGAATGTGCATTAAAAGAAAATAAAGAAATTGATCAAAGCACTCCCCGTTGAGAAAATATGCAAAACTCCGATGTCCGATGCAAAACTCCGATATCTATTTGTATCGACATTTCTTATCGACTCAATATTTAGCTAACGAAAAAAGAGTTGAAATGTATTAAAATATGATATTCTTAAGATTCTTCTAAATAATCTCAATCTAAAACTGAAGTTTTTTTACATCTATATGTGAGTTTTCAAAGAACTTTCGATATTATTTAAAGGGAGTCATACACCAATTCATTCCTCTTTGACATTTTTGTCATATAAATCATAGTTTAATGGTAATCTATATTTTCAACACTGACAACTTTGAGCCCTAAAAAATGCGGAAAAAGTTGTTGAATAGGCCTTTGCATCTAAAAAATAGCTTATTTTTGCTGTTTTAGCACTTTGGCACTGTGCGCAAGGTTCAGATCAGAGTTTTATAGGTGCTACTTTCTGTTAAGGAGCAAAATCTTCAGAAAAGTACCCTTTATGGGCTGATTTTTGTGGTGAAAATGTAGATTGACATTAAACTGTGATTTATATGATAAAAGTGCCGAAGGAAATGGAATTATGTATGACTCCCCTTAACTACTGTAAAGAACATCAGGTAAGCCGCCGTGCGCTCGTCATCGCGATGTGACACGCGTTGAGTAAAAGTAAGAACAACTTCCTAAATTTACAGTTTATACTCGTTTTTCAATCCATACTGAACAAAAGAATCAGCTTTTCTAAAACCAAATGCGCCATTCGAAAGCTGAAGAAATATACATTAAATTTTGTGAAAAAAATTAGAGTTGTTGTAGAAAAAAGTACAGCCCGATCTCTGGTAGAAATCAAACATTTTTTCGGCATTAAAGACGTTGGGGACGCAACCGAGTTCAAATCAGAAACTATCAAGAAACAGCGGAAGGTAGATACTTGATTTGACTAGGTGGGTCGGTGGTAACATAGGCTCAGAGCCATTACGCATGCTATCACGCGTATTTTTGTCTGCTGCTAACCTCTCGAGTTAGATTGAATGTAGAGCAAACAGGAAATTTTTTATTTTTATAAAATTACTTTGAAATAAACTCATGAATACACAATATAACTGATACCATTTGAAAGGTAATAACTTCATCTTTAATTACGTGAAATTTGGTCATGATCTTCCATCTTTATCACAAGTTATACTTAAAATCGTGTGAAATATGTTGCGCGCTTCTATTATAGCCATTTTAAAAAGTGTACTTTACTTTTGAAATTAAAATTTACAAAATTTAACTCGACAAACGAAGCTGAAATTTCGGGAAAAAATTATAAGGGGTTTCAACTATCAATTTCCGAAGTTTCAACTTCGTGGCCCATCTTAACGCAAAGATCCCCAACGTCTTTAATGAAATGATTAGGGCTGTGTGAGTACTCGAAAAAACTCGACTCGTCGAGTTCGAGTTTTTTCCTCGAGTTCGAGTCAATTACTCGATTTTTTGAGTACTCGAGTTTTTTCGGGTACTCGAATTTTTTCGAGTAATCGAGTTTTTAGAGTACTCGCAATATATTTAAGTTTTAAATAAATAGATGATGAATTTACAGTCTCTAAACCCCTCCCTTTGTGTGTACGTGCTTATAAGTGTGATGAAGTGTGGTACTATTAAATTATTTTCTTCTTCCAATCTAATCCGCTGTGAATATCACACTTATAATCATGTACACACAAAGGAAGGTTGTCTAGAGACTGTTAATTCATTATTTATTTACTTAAAACTAAAATATATTGCGAGTACTCGAAAAAAGCGCGAGTACTCGAAAACTCGGGTACTCGCACAGCCATTATTACTTTCTTTTTTTTTTAAGAATTTGATAAAGCTAAGATTGGAGAAAACGTTTTTGTAAGGATATCGACATTTTGTAATGGACTCAAGCAGAAAAAAACTTTCTAGATAGAGCCACTTTTCAATGAACCTTATTCAATATAATAACGAATAAAGTTTATAATTTTTTTTTGAAGTACTTATAAACTTAATTGACATAAACTTGAATATAAAATATCTGATAGACAAATATTTTTTGTAGTTCAAGATACAGAGCAATTGAGAAACGAAAGTATTGCTTGTTTGAGAGCAAAAGCTCAACAGCATCAACTACAATTAAGCTTACAACCATCCAGTGGAGCTTCAAATGCAACATCCTATACGGCAGGTCCTCAAACTGGAACTCTTCATGCAACAGTTTAAATGTAAATAAAAATAAACAACCTTTTCACAATAAATTTTGGGAAGCAATTTTCACATTTTATTTATTTTTTTACAGAAAATTGAATATTTCAAGATTTATGCCACTGAAAATATCAACATTTTCTTAGTGAAATGAGGATTGGAGGATGTAGCAATTAGTAAATCATCATCAACATTTTAAGCTAAAGCCAAATACATTTTTGGGGGCATCTTCATCTGAATCATTTTCATTTGATCATTGAAGATGAACGTTAACTGTACTTCAAGTCAACGTATTTTTTAAAGCAAAATATTAATCAATTCAGAATAGTTTGATTTCGACAATATTGTACTGTTTGCCTATTGAACAAACAGTTGTTTATGAAACTCTACTTATTATTATGATTGATTCAAAAAAATTTTGCCAAAAACTCATTCTTACTATTTTATCAATCTCTGACTGATTAAAGCAAAGTAGTATAAAGTCTTTATGAACTTCGAGAAAACTATTGTTTAGGAATGAACAAAAATCTAAGTGAATCTGAATTAGTGAAGCGCACAGTATGAAACCAAACTATTTCGAAAGCGATTAAGAGCTTCGAGACCGAATTCAAGGAGCTTCCAAAAATAAATATAGATTATTCAACGAAAAAAAATGGAAAAATTCATGGAATATAAAATCGACAACGTTATCGAAAATTAAAAGAGGAAGAACGCTGTATGCAATAATCAGCTTATGAGATAATGATAAATTCTTTTGACGTAGTTTCGTCGACTCCATTACATTTCTTTTCAAAGCGTTGAATTTAACAAGGATCACATTTTTATCTACCTTGCTTCTTGGAAGAGCTCAATATTTTGAATGAATTGATTAAATATTCAAAGAGTTAATGTTCTCATAGATTTGTGTATAAAATAATGGTAATATCAAAATTTAAATGTACAATATAATTTAGTCGTTCATTAAAAAAAAAGAAAATTGAAAATTGTAAATTGTGTAATATAATCGAATCTTACGTAATTAATATTTGGAAACATTTATTTTGTAAAACAACACTTAGAAAATAATGTGCAACTATCAACGAACATTCTCATTTCATCGAAAGAAACACAATGAATGAAAAATATTGTGCGTTATGTATGTACAAGATAATTAGTTAAAAGTTCCTTTTTCTTATTCGTACAATAATTGAACTTGACAAAATGAACATGAAATAATGTTTTTGATTATAAATGAATACAAAAAAATTTGTAATGAAAAAATAAAATAAACTTATTAAATGATTAATAACGCACATATTTTTTGACTTGAGAAAAACAAAGAAAAAACAAAAAAATGTATAGATCAATGACAGAGTACACGATTATTATAAAATAAAAATTTAGTCGAGAGTTATAAATATTATATTATAAAAAAAAGTTTGTACGAAATAAAAGAGCGTATGTATGTGATAGATGAGTACATTTGGAATGAATTAAATATATACGTATAGATAGATATAAAAATGAAAAACTAAGGAAAGATACCTAATGAAGGTCAAAATTGAATATAGATGATAAGGAAATAATATAATGAATTAATCAACCTCCCAACGTTATACGAGTACTTAAGAGGCAAATTTTATCGTTGTCGAATGTGCAATATATCAGCATAAGTTTTTCATCTGTAAGACTCAAAATACTTTTAATTTAAAGAGCAAATCTTTGATATTAGTGTAATAATTATTTTATATTATTTTGATGACTCACCAAAAGAGAAGAGAAATGCGATTTGAAATGGTAATTTTATTGTCTTCTGTGTAAATACCTCTTATGAATAAATATAATTATAAAAATATGATTACGTGTAGCCAATTTGACTTACAAAAAGAGTAAAATATGCAACTCTATCACTTGATTACTGATTATTCTTTAAATATTTTATGCGACATTGAGAGATCTAAAGAATATTTGTTGATTTACACTCATTTTCTCGATATGTTAAAAATCAATGAAAACGACTGTAAAACGCAACTGCATATCTCTGTAAGCCTAAAATTACATAATTTTATCATGGGTTTAGCTATGAAGGGGAAATTTTTATACAAAATTTATTATTTTCGCATACAAAACTCCAAATAAGCCAAGAGATATCTAGGAAAAGATGATTTTTGTACACGAAACTTAAAAGATTACAAGCATTTCGTATATGAATTTTCCCTGAACAGACACTTCATTATTATTATACATTATTTTGTGCTTAAACGTCTTGGCACAAATGTGATTATTAATTTATATTATTATTTTATTCCATTATTATCTTTATTTCATCAGACATATACACATAAATGAAATTTTTAAAGATTGTTCTTTAATGCATTTGAGTGATAATTTAGCATTAAGTATGAGTAAATCATATGACATTCATTTTATGTACTTAAATTAATATATTAATTTATTGTTTGGTTTTTTAGCAAAAACTGTTGTAAAAAGGCTTTATGATCTCATCAGTTTGATATGTTTAGCAATATTAAATGTATTATAAAATTGAATAAAATTATTTGTATGAATTCATTATTATTCCACTATAATAACGTTACATAAAAAATTTTCGAAACCTTTGAGGCCATTTTTATACAACTACCTACTGTTTCATATGAATTAAGAAATAAAAGTTATTTATTTTGAATTGAGTAACATTCAAATCGAGCGCTTTAATGCAATTGCACGTTAGATTATAGATTAAGCTTATGCGCTGTACTTCAGAAGACATCATTTTTAAAAAAGTATAAAATATATCAAAAAGATCTCCTGAATGAAGTAGCCAAACAAATGAAAATGATGGTCAAATTGAATAAATTTGTTGTCGAATTATTGATATTATAAAAAAAACTTAGTATAGTCATCAAAAAACGAAGATGTGATGCTCTAATACTGCAAATTGAAAAAATGACTTGTACAATTCACCGACTTGATAAAAATGAATACAGATACATGTTAAATAAACTTCATTTCAAAGACTTTTGATTCACATGTGTAAATTAACACTTGTGACAAATCACAAATATGGTAGTCGCTAGTTATACGTAATAATAAAGTTTCTGAAAAAAATTTAATGGTTTTGTAATTATTAAAATTTAATATAAATCTTATGAGAAAAAAATTAAACATAATTACTTCATAATTAAACTGAGTTAAATTTTAAATTTCAGCTTTGAAATCGGACAATTTTTATTCATTCTTCCCACTCTAACGTAAGATACGCAACTTTGCATCTAAATTTAGGCTTTCGTAGAAAAAAATAGTATCATCAACTGGTGCAGATGTGAGGAGCTCGGCCTCTGCGTCAGTCGCAGTCTAGCCTCCACCGACAGCGACACCCGGCGACTTCGTAAGGCACCACTACGAGGGTCTCTATATACCGACGAGTGAGTGTGGCCGCACTACCGATAGGCTTGTTGGCCGTAAAGTCGGAGTTCCAACGAGGCACGCGTCCAAGTGTGGGCGAGCTCGTGCAGGTCGAGTTCGATCGGAGTAAATGATAGGCTTATAGGCCGAGTTGTCGTGGGTTTTTCCGACGAACGCTTTTTACGTATGGACAAGTAAGCATGATAAAATCGTTACGCCTTTTTAGGTGTATGCCGGCCTTTATTGCCGTTTTATTCTTTTTGACATAAGGACAAGTAGCCTTAGTTTAGGCGAGTCGATGGCTCGACGAGCGAGTTTAGTCGCGTGTACAACGGTTGTTGTTGCGACGTGAGATCGTAGTAGTGACGCATGTCACTACCAAGCTTCCGTATCTTTGATATCATTCAAGCCGCGCGTATTGCTACCAGATATGGTAGGCGCGATGGGCTTTTGAAAGAAACATCGATCAAGTATGCCAAAGTTACGAGAGAATTGATTGAGTTATACTTAAAAATGTGTGACATTTTTCGGCTAAATCTGATGTGCCTCTCGAAAAAATTTTATCCTTGCGTACGATTGCGAATAAGCAATCTACAAGTGGAGGACAAGGCTTTTTTAAATGCACTTGCAAAACCGCTTGCAAGACAAAGATATGCATGTATCGAAAAAATAACGTTTTATGCAATTCCAAGAGCCACAATAGTTCAAGTTGCTGTAACAAATGATAACTAATTATTTAACGGGTTTGACAAAGCTTAACTTAAAGTGAGCTTGGACTTTTGTATTTATATAAATGCGTATTTTTTCACTTTACACTAATTTTTTACTTAAAATTATTAGCTCGCAGTAATGCCTAAAATTGTTTAGGCATTGCGGGTTTTGCCTAAAAAATTGTAGGCATTGTGGGCAATACCTAAGATTTAGGAAGTTCATATATTTTTGCGGGTATGTCCTAAAATCTTAGGGAATTTCTGTTTTTGCCTAGGCAAAAGACACTTTTGCCTAAAAGCGGGGTTTGCCGGTAACAACGTAAAAATAGTAGATCGTAAAGTCACAATAACTGGGCTTTGAATGACACAGCACAAAGGAATCTCAACTGTACGTTCGAAATTCGACTAAGTGTCGTGATAGTGAACTTTTAGGTAAAAGTGTGAATAAATCAATTACTGATGTAATAGTAGAGTAATAATTAAGTGTTATGAATACGTTGGCCTTGTGACTCGCCTTTATACTCGCGCCTTTGGGTCACAAGCGGGGGTAGCTCTCGGAGCTCGCCTCCTTCTCTTGTCTTTCTCGCGAAGTGGGATGCGACGAGAAAGACTTTCGGTGCACGCGCGTCGAGTGCGTCGATTGAGTAGGGGAAGCTACAAACCACATGGGCTACCATCGATTAATGCTTGCTCTTGTATTTCTACGACAGGTAGCTTAGATATGCGTATAACTTGCGTTGAGGGTCAACACCCTCATTATTATTGTACTTAACTGTTTCTAAATATCTAACTGGACAAAATACTTTCAAATAGGGTTTTGAAAAGAGTTATCATGTGTGTTCTTAAAAAAAAACATTTTTTTTCACTTTTACAGCCTAGTACTGTAATTGAAAAATGAAAAATAATTAAGCCCCCTGTTAGCCCTCAAATCTTAAAAATGCAAAATGGTCTATGATTTTTGTAATTCGCACACTGCTTTTGACTTACTTTATTGGTAATTCGAAGCGCGTCAAATATTAATTGTTTTCAGGCTTATTTGTAATTCTCAGCACAGAATGACTAAAATATTTATAGATGCAGTTCAATAAAAGAATAGAAAATAGAAGAATAGAAAAATGATGAAATGATAAGTGAATTACCATACAGTTATGTAGTGTAGTGAGAAGTGAAATTCAGTGGCCTCCTGGTACATAACTGTCATCATTTTCATGAAATTTCCTCTTGCGGTTAGATCTTCTGACTTCTTGGGAGGCCAACACAGTTTTTCTAATGCTTTTCTCTATTCTTTTCTTATCTTCTTCTTGACTGAACCGAATGGCGTACAGTACTGGAGTAGTATCATACTCCCTCATCATCTTGATAAGACCAGACTTGCCATCATTAAAGGTCGATACTGCAAAGTATGTTCCAATATTAAAAACTGTGTTGCCACTCCATAGTTTTTTAGGTACATATTGGATTTTGGGTGAATTGTCCAACACATTTGTGTAGAAGATCCTCTTTACTCAAATCAGTGTAGATACTTTTTATGGCATCCATAACTGCTGGTGGAAGTGAGTTTGTATGCTTGAAGGACTTCAAAATGCCGTTTGCTTTGGCTTATTGCCATTGACACCATGAATTTTGACCAATGGGACAGAGATCATGCTGAGGCTCTCGGTCACTGGATCTTTTGTGTTTCCAAGTAGCTTATATAGCATTGTACATCTCTTGGACCGTGGAACTATCTCTGACTGCTTTGCCGTAATACTTGGACAGCATA